ATAGTAAAAATGACAATCTTACTGAAAGCAATATACAGATATAACACAATCCCCATTAAAATCTCAGCACAATTCTTCACACACCTTGAAAGAACAATAATCAACTTTATTTGGAAACACAAAAGATCCAGGATAGCCAAAACAACCCTGATCAACAAGGCAACAAGCGGAGGCATCACCATCCCTGACTTCAAGCTCTATTGCAGAGATATAGTCCTGAAAACAGCTTAGTATTGGCACAAAAATTAACAGGTAGACTAATGGAATGGAATTGAATACCCCAACATTAACCCATACACGTATGAACACATGATCTTTGACAAAGAAGCTAAGATTATACAATGGAAAAAAGAAAGCACCTTCAACAAATGGTGCTGGCATAACTGGAGTCTGACATGTAGAAGACTGCAGATAGATCCATGTCTATCGCCATGCACAAAGCTTAAATCGAAATGGATCAAAGATCTCAACATAAATCCAGCCACACTGAACCTGTTAGAAAAGAATATTGGAGGCACCCTTGAACAAATTGGTACAGGAGACTGCTTCCTGCACCAGTAGCACAGACACTAAGATCGACAATTAATAAATGGGACCTCCTGAAAGTAAGAAACTTCTGTAAGGCAAAGGACACAGTATGCAAGACAAAAAGACAACCCACAGATTGGGAAAAGATATTCACTAACCCCACATTTGACAGAGGACTGATTTCCAAAATTTACAAAGAACTCAAGAAGCAAGTCTCCAAAACACCAAATGATCCAATCAAAAATGGGGTGCAAAACTAAATATAGAATTCTCAGTAGAGGAATCTAAAATGGCTGAGAGACACTTAAGAAAGTGCTCAACATCCCTAGCCAACGTACATGCAAATCAAAACAACTCTGAGATACCATCTCACTCCTGTCAGAATGGCGAAAATCAAAAACACCAATGACAGCTTATGCTGGATGTTGATTGTCCTTAGCCGTCAGGGAACTGCAAATGAAAATGACATTGAGATTCTATCTTAACAACTGTTGGAATGGGTTAGATCAATACCCACACGATAGCTCATGCTGGAGAGAATGGAGAACAAGGGGACCACTCCTCCACAGCTGGAGTGTAAACTTATACAGTCACTTTGGAAATCAATATGTTGTTTTCTCTCACTAAAAGGGAATCAATCTACCTCAAGACCAGGCTGTACCAGTCTGGGTTATATACCCAAAGAATGCTTCCCTATACCACAAGGACACTTACAAAACTATATTCATAAGAGCTTTATTCCAGAAACTGGAAACCTAGATGTCCCTAAATAGAAGAATGAATACAGAAAATGTGGTACATTTACACAAAGAGAAACATGGTAGGTACTCACTCATATATGGATTTAAGACATAGATCTGGGGAGTTCCAGCCTACAATCCCATGGCCAGAGAGTCTGGGAAACAGAACCTTCATTTAGTGGCTGATGGAAGCAGAGGAAGACTCCCACACAGCTAAGCACTGAGCTGAACTAAAGAAATCCAGTGACAGAGAGGGAGGACTGATGACCAAAGGGGTTAAGACTGGGCTGGTTTAAACCCCAGAAACAGCTGACCAGGCTGATGTCTGGGAATCCAGCATGGGACTGACCAAGACCCCCTGAATGGGGGTGTCAGTGAGGAGGCGTAGGGAATCTATTGAGCCTTGGGTAGTAGACCAGTATTTATCCCTGGTATACAAATGGACTTTGGGCTTCCATCCAACAATGAGAGGTGCACTCTCACCCTGGAATCTTGGGGGGAGGGTCTAGGCCCTGCCCTGGATGAAATGACAGACTATCGACACCCCCATGGAGGGCCTCACCCTCCCTGGGGAAATGAGGGGATTTGGGGGAGGGTTGGAGGGAGGGCACAGGAGGAGGGGAGGGAAAGGGAGAGGGACTTAGAATTGACATGTGAAGCAACCTTGTTTCTAATTTAAATTTAAATTTAAAAATAAAAATAAAATTAAAAATACAAAAACAAAAGGATAGTATAAAAGGACTGAAGAAAAAAAAACAATGACAGTAGGTGGATGGAACTAAAAATTATCATCCTGAGTAAGTTAATCCAGGCACAGAAAGACAAACGTCGTATGTGCTAACTCATAATTGAATATTAGCTGTAAAGCAAAGGAGAAACATGATACAACCCACAGACCCAGAGAAACTGAGTAACAAAGAGGGCTCGTGAATGGGTGGGGAGGGTTTAACCTCACTATGAAGGGAAAATAGAATGAATTTTAACAGTGGATGGGGGAGGGGACTTGAAGGGGTAATGAGAATGGGAACAGGAGGGATCAGGTAGGAGGAAAATGAAGGGAGAGAGTACTGGAAGAGACAACTGGAATCTGGGGGGGCATCTCCAGGATGAGCTAGAAGCCTAGAGCAATGGAAACTCGCAGGAATCTTTGAGGATGACCCTAACTAAGACTCCTAGCAATGGGGGAAATGGAGCTCAACTGGCCTTCCCTTGTAATCAGGCAAGATATCCAGTGGAGGGATTGGTATACCATCGAACCACAAACTTTTCAACCTACAATTTGTCCTGCCTACAAGATGTGTTGGGCTAAAGATGGCACAGACATTTTGGGAGTGACCCAATGACTGGCCAGGGGGAGACCCATATCCAGAGAGACAGCTCACCTCTGAGGGCCAAGACCTGGAGGCAGCATATTCTAGAGGCCTAAGATAGCACCAAGCAGGATCAGAAAAAAAAATCTATGAAATGATTCCTAATGATATACTGCTATTCTCGTATACTGGTGCCTAGCTCAACTGTTATCAGAGGCTTCACCTAGCAACTAATGGAAGCAGGTGCAGAGACCAGCAGCCAAACATTAGGCAGAGCTCAGATAATCCTTCTGAAGAAGATTGTAGGAGCCAGAGGAGTTGAGGACACCACAAGAAAACCTACAGAACCAACTAACCTGGGCTCACAGTGGCTCTCAGAGATGGAACTGACTACCAGGGAGCCTGTATGGGACTGACTGGAGCATTCTACATATATGTTACAGTTGTGCAATGTGGTCTTCTTGAAGACTCCTAACAGTGAGAGCCGCGGCTGTCTCTAACTCTGTTGCTTGCTTTTGGGACCTGTTACTCCTAGCAGATTGCCTTGCCCAGCCTTAATGGAAGAGGGGGAGCCTAGTCTCACTGCAACTTGATATACCATGGCTGGCTGATATCAATGGGAGGCCCACCTATATCTGAGGGGAAACCATGGAGAAAGTGTGAATTAGGATGTAAAGGGGAGGGGAAGGAAAGAAGTTGGGAGGAGGGGACACTACAGTTGGAATGTAAAAAATAAAAGGATAAATTGCTATGACATTGAAAATCTTCTAAATATGTTTATATTCATAGATAATGAATACTGTCAACATTAATTAGAAAAGATTCCATTCTCTGGTAAACTATGATGAAAGTATAGATTTATTAATTCGCAAGATACTGGGAATAGTGATAATTGTGTACTCAGTTGCTACAAGCTGCAAAATCACACAGTAATTACGCAGTCATCATCTCATGAGAAACTCAGAAGCATTAAGGATTCTTCTGATGCACAAACCAATACAAAAGTTGTATTGCACTGAGTCTCCACAATAATGTACCCTTAGCATGTGGTCATGAATGGGGTAAGGTCTCAGGAACTGTGGCCCTCAGCGCTGAACTATTTCATGCTGATATATTCAACAGAAAAGGGAGTCAGTGCTCACAGGTCTACACCAACCTACTAGTGAATAAACCAAGTTCCAAAGGACAGTTATAATCCAATGTTAGTCATACGTTCTGGTTAAAATCAGCACAACATACATAAAAATTCAAACTTATAAAGCTTGGAAAACGACAGGCAAGGATTAGGTGTTAATAGAGTTGGGGCATGTGAGAGAAGGCGAGTAGATAGAATATACAGGACATATTATACACATGTAAGAAGTTGTCAAAGAACTAAAGTTTTAAAATTAAAATAAAAAACAGTTAGTGGTTTCCTTAAGTTCTCATATCTATTAATAGTATTTCTTACTGAAAATAGCTTCTTATTCTTATATTATTTGGATTTATATATTTTGCAAAACCCTGTGTCAGTTAGAAGCTTGGATCCTCACTGGTGCTCCTGTTGGGAGATGATGTAAAGTTCAGGAACTGCTGGTCTAGTTGAAGTAACTTAGGTTACTGGGACTATGCCTTTGAAAGGACATTGTGATGCTGGTCATTCCTTTCTAGTTGTGTTCCTGGTGGACAGGAGGCAGGCAGCTTTGCCGTGGCAATCATTCTGATGTAATACGCTGCCTGCTATAGGTCTAAAGTGATGGAACTATTTGACCATTAACTTAAGTCAGTGTATCAAAGTAAGTTTTCTTGCTCTAAGTTGTTTACTTAAGCAATATTGACACAAATTGAGAAGAATGAGGCTTATGTGTAAGGAACTGAAGCCTCTTGTCAAAGCCTGGTGAGTGTGAATGTTAAACATACAGCTCAGCAAAGGCTCCTGACTGACAACCATGGCAGTCTCTGAGAGCACCACACAAATGCAGAGACAATAGCTGAGTCATCCTCAAGTCTGACAGCAAAGATTCATGAAGAAGCAACTATTTTTATGTATATTTGCTATAATGAAAATAAATATATAAACTTGTCTTATAAGACAAATATTCTTATCCAATAATTTACTAAAAATCTTTGAAAATGTTTCATAATTAGAAAAAGGTATATATGTACATATACATGAATTCAAGTAGCAGAAAATTAAAATTTTAGTTTTCCATAATGTATTTTTAATATTTCTTAAAATCTTGAATTTTAATATTACTTAAAATATATTATTTAAAATATTACTTTAAAATAAATTAGTTAAAATATTACTTTAAACAATAGAGTACTTCTAAGGATTGTACACAAAAAAAGCCAAATATTTGCTAATAATGTGTCTCTATCTGTGCATGTATTAAAGGGTAATGTCAGGATAATGGAGATTCAAGGTATGAATAAAACTTACAGCTACATCTTGGAACAGGGATCCAGCCAGTACTGGTACACTTTGCAACAGTTCCTTGGGTTGCAGGATAGAAACCATTTTTACATTCATATCTGATTTCATCATCAGCTCTGTGTTTAATCCTCTGAGGTGAGTACACACCATTTGGAATATAGGGAGGTTTGCATGTCATTTCTGAAAAGAAGGATATATAAATATTGAGCAATTTTTAATTCTCATGAAAATTAAATGACAGATAGCATTTACTTGTACCGAAAGCTATAAAGGTGACATATGATTACATCTTCATATGCTTGACATATCAGTCAGGCTTCCCCTCTCTCCTCTTGATATATATGTGCCACTCTTATATTAATTCTTACCTCTAGAAACTGTGATATGCAGTGTTTCATTATTTTATAAGTGGCAATAACTTCATACTATATAACACCAATAATTTCTTTCACTTTCTAATTCTTTGATTGCTGGACTCAGACTCTTGTTTGGCCTATTTATTAATATTCACAGGCTCTTACTTCTAAATAGTTGTGAAATTTTCTCACTCTTCCTCTTTGAAGTACATGGGACAACTTACTGAATATGGGAGCTGTATCATTCACCTTACAGAAAAACATAATTCAATTTTTGACCTTCAAAAATCATGAATTTTGGCATTTGACAAGGGTATACATGTATATAATGAGTTCTAATTATGCTTTTCTCTATACTCTATGTTCTCTCTGACATCCCTGATCATCAACCCTCATTTTTTTCCTGTCTGTTTTCCAGACCATGACTTTTCGGCTTGTTTTTTGACATGTTCAGCTTTGATACTCTCATGTCTACAGCTGCAGCAAGTATACAAAAAGATGATGAGACCATGTACTGATTCCAACAACTGACACAGAAGAGGCCCATATTGCTTACACTGAGAGTGAGCATGCATAGAAAAAGAATCACTCACATTATGATCCTACTTCTCATTCTGTTGCATTTTCTTACATTGGTGGGATAACCCAGCAAAAGACTTGGACAGACTTATCTGTTAAAGGCTCGTTAAAAGTTCTCTATGAGAACTACTTAGGTCTACTCAGCAAAAATAGACAAAAGTTCTCTTAACTCTTTGTCCGAACTTTAGTGCCTTCCATCTTTTCAAAGCTCAAATCCTTAAAGTACAATTTCACCAACTATCTCCTTTTTCCCACACCCTATGTAGTCCTCAATACAGTCCCTGATTGGCTTCTGACACCTCCATCACACAGCTAGTGCTGTGACAGAAGTCTTCCATTTACTCAAAGATGTAAATCCAGAAATTCACTTTTTCATAGAAGTCAAACCTCCTGGAGTAATTTCTTTATTCAGTCACTGACTTCTTGAAGTACTCCAAAATGTTGTATTTGTATTTTCCTACGTCTCCTGGTCTTTATCTTGATACATGTTTTAATTTCAAATTTTTATTTTACTTCGCATTACTATTTTTATGTTGTTGTGGGCTCCTCACCCACTGATCTACTTGATATTTAGACATTTTTACTGAATTTTCAACTTACTCTGCGTACTGCCACCACTCTGACCCAAGTCTGGCTGTCACATATATCAAACCATTTCTGAAATGTGCACTTTCTGTCCTGTGTAACTCAAATAACTCTGTCCTAGGTCTTCTCATTGATATCATTGCTACCTTAGAAAATTATTTAAGTCACTATAATTGCTATATAAATGAAATTCTTTGCCTTACAGTTGATTTTATGAGCGTGTATTCTTCATTTGTGTTTTTTCTTCTATTCCTTGGCATTCAAGATAACCTCCAAGTTAAAAAACTACCCCTTATGCTAATAATTTTGGTCATTAGATCAAAGTTCATATAACTGAATGGATCAGGCCCCTGTGTAGAATTCAAAAGCATATGGAGTTTATAACATGACGGTCTGTAGTATTGTTCTTTCCTCAATTCCTGTTTTTCCTCCTACATCTAATATTTTAATGTATAAAACCAAATGAATGATAGGAATCTGCAAATTTTCTTTACAGTGTTTCATTGTCAAATTCTCATACAGATTCTATGGTTTCAAGAATCATTTGAATATTTTTCTCCTCACATACATAATTGTAATGTGAGCACTTTGCTCATGAAGCTGTAGCAGCAATCTTTTGACTGTTCTTAAATTTGTGTCACAGTATATCTGCATTTCTGACAGGATAATATATGTGCATATAAATAACAACTAAGCTACAATAATATATGACTACTTAAACACAACTTTGGCCTCTTAATTTAAATATATTCCTTCATTTTTTCTTACTTCATTCAACTCCGCCTATCATATTTTCATAGGACAATTGTAGTTTATACTTTTCTATTTGGGTTTTCTTAACAATATAAGATAATTCAGTGCCTATTTTAGTTAAATATGCATGATTCCAAACAATAACAATAAGGCCAAATGCTTAAGAGAACAACGAAACAAGACTGAGAGAACTTTGTCAAACTGATTAAGAACATAAGGCCTTCTGTAGGTTAACCTACTGTAGACATAAACCTCTGATGAATTCTGATAAATTCTCAACAGTTAACCTTTCAATTTTATGTTGACCTTTATTCCATCAGTAGAAACATTTGGAAAGGAACACTACAAGTTTGTTTGTCTTACAGAGTAAAGCCAATTTTACAAAATGTATTTGGTACAGGAAGCAGATGGTTATTTGTTAAAATTAATATTTATTCAGAGAACTGTGGTATTTTTTATTATTCCTACTTGCTGTCAGTGACTGTCTGCTATATGATAGAGAACCAAATGTTCTGAGAAGTTGTTCTAAAAGCCTTGGTCTGGTTATGATCAGCTGGAAGGAAGTTTGTTTGTTTTACATTACAATATTTTGTTTGAATTTTGATCTTGTTCAGATTCCATGCCTCCTGCAAATTTAGCTGTGACCAAGCATGTTTTCAGCAGTATGGTGGCTGGCAGATTAAGATGCCTTGGTTCGGACATAACCATACACAAACACAGGTAAGCTCTTTGCTCCAGGAAGGCAAAAACAATGATTAGATCATATCAGCCAGGGTACAAAATAGTGCAGTGCTTTCATTAATAAGAAACTACTTTTTATCCAGTAATATAATTTTTCATTCATCTAAATGAAGTTCATTATAAGAGATTTGCATGCCTGTATGAATTAGGATGCATATCTTTATATCATTGAACTCTTATTTGCTGTCTCATGAGCAAGCCCTCTGTCAACTCTCTCTTTAATAAATAAGAACTTTTAATATCTGACATGTGACTGTTTGAGAAATGATTAAAAGGAAAGTTAAATGTAGTCTCTTTCTCCCCCCTTCTTCTCTCCCTCCCCCATTTCTCTTTCAAAGTGTTTGAAAGAAGCAAGCCTAGGATGTGCTGAAGCAGACCTGGGGTACCATACATATTTCTCAGTTTGAAACAAAAAATATGCTGAAGAAGAGTTTTTAATTAAGTGGCTAAGTGGCTGAGAAAAACATGGAAGCATTAAGCTTCAATGAAGCAGACGTGCCCCACTCCTAACATATAACAGAGTCGAATTCTATATGTCTTGCACTGAATTCACTTAAAGCTGCAATGATTGTTTGAATAGTTCCTCTTAAGTGCAAGACAGAGACTTAATATAAAATGACACTTCATGAGTTATATTTTGATGTTTATATGAATAAATGATCTGTTTAGGAGGGCACCTGGAGTTAAGAATATGGAAGAAGGTTAATGCCAGAGGAGTACTGCAGATACTGCTTCTCTGATTAGAAACCACAAACACCATGCAAACAAGTGCCTGGACTCAATGCCATCAGCTTCACAAGGATCTGGATGACCATCATTCTTTTCCCCTCACTGGCCTACTTCTTAAGCAATAAAAGACTTAGAAAATATCAATAATGTCACCTTCACAGGAGGGCTGAGGACTCCATCCGGAAGCTGTGCAGATGGCATCCCCTCTTTCTCTGTACACAAAACCTCGGTCACATTGATACTGATACCTTTCATTCTCCTTGTAAACTAGTTTCTTAGATACAGCTTGTCCATTTTCAACTACTGGTGGGGTGCAGGAAATCCCTGAAAGCAAGAGAGTAATTGCATAATGTTTACTCTGGAAAAAATCTGTTGAGTAAGTCATATTTTCACAATGACAGAGCTTGGCTCACACTAGGTCAATCAGCAAATCATCCAACCTGACAATTGCTTTGACCTGACTGCTTTATTAATCATATATCTGCTGTTTCAAATAGTCATTTTTTTAAAGAAGCTAGAATTACATTGCTAATAATATTTAACATTATGGTAAATTTGCCTCTTGAAATAAATGGTAGCCTGTAACATTCTTCAGATTCTTGTGAAAATGAAAATAGACACAGGCTTGCAGGTTAATATTTTCGTGAGTACAAAACAACACATTGTCTCATTACTGACAGTAATTTTCAAGACCTCACTTTTTCAAGGAAATCTACTAAAGTCACTTTCCATTTGATCTTTGAGAAGTCAAGGCTTCTGCTTTGGTGCCTTCATACAATTTCTTTTTTTCAAAAGCCAAGAAAAGAAAACTAGAGAAGTCCTGGCTACCACTTTCAACACATTTCTCTTAAAATACACTACTCCAGGACTGTGGCACTAGAAACTGGTCTCTCAAAGCCTCTCCTCCCATCTTTCATTTTTCTCCTTTGATTGTAACTAAATAAATTTCCAAATGATCACTTTGAAATGTTTCGTCCTTTCCCAAATCTAGCTGAGTTAATTTGGCCCAGCCAATACAGTAACTATCCTGTCCTATGCTTATTCTTTTACTGACTTACCACCTCTGTTCAACTGTTGAATAGCAACTTTCTTTAAGATAAAACATTCCATCTAGGAGGGAAGCTCCTGAAAAAATAGGATCCTATAAAGCAATTCTTCTCATCCTTCCTAATGCTGCAACCCTCTAATACAGTTCCTCAGGTTGTGGTGACCCCAACCACAAAATTTCATTCCTTACAACATCATAACTACAATGTTGCTACTGTTATGAATCATAATGTAAATGTATGATATGCAAATGGTCTTAGGCAACCCCTGTAAAAGGATTGTTCAACCCCCAAAATGGTCATGACCCACAGGTTGAGAACGACTGCTCTAACAGGAACTACAACATCCCATTCTTCATGGAATCTCATTAACCTCAGGAAACAATTCAAATGCTTCAGGAAGTCCTTGAAATTGTCCATATTGACCAGGCCCCTTCTTCCCTGTGCATACATAAGCAATGACTGCTGTGAAATACTTCTTTCAGCTGAGTCCTAGAAGATGCTCAGACCTCTGTGCATTGTGCTTCAGCTTTACAGCTTTTGTGAGCCTTCATCCATACTGGGGCGGGCCTTAGATGATGTAGCTACTTTTGAATCACTTCTACCACTGTAACTGTAGCAGACTCATTAGTTCACCAACATGGACTTTGGTGGTAGATTTGTTGTCAGTTCCCTATCTGAAGTGCTTAGATGTTTGTTCTAATCTCCCTAGTAACGGGGCTAAGCAGCAGCATCCTACAGTGGGACTTCTGTGAGCAGCTAATGAGGATTGGACACCTTGCTGTCTTTCCAACTTCAGAGAGCTGCCATGTTTGCTGTTTTTAAGTTATTTTCAGATGCAAACACCTTAGGCTCTCTTTAAAACTAATCTCAAGGGTCAGAGTTTCCTAGGTTTCATTAGCCATAAGCAATGAATTGTAAGCATGTAATTAATACCCAGAAACTTCAATGTGTGGAGTTGTTGTACACTGAATGTATGTGTCAGTATATCACTATTTTCATGAAGAATTGGTGTTGTTAGAATGACTTGTTAACACCAAATGGTCAGTCCTGAGGGAATGGACCAATGTATTTACAATTTCAAAAATTAAAGAAACTTAAAAAAGAAGAAAACTTTGCCTTCTTTAGTGTAAGGTAGACATGCTAAAAATGGTGAAAATATTGGAGATGGTGAGTAATTTTCCAAAATAAATATAGTACAGGTATGGTGCCATGTGCCTATAATCTCAGCACTCATGAGGCAGGTTCAGGAAGATTGCTATAAGATGAAAGCTATTATGAACTACATATCAAGTTCAGGCCATGGCTACATTGTGACAGGCTGTCTCAAAAACAAAGAAACAAAACAGCAAAAAGAGGAAAAAGAAGAAAAGAAAGAAATAAAAATCAAAGAAATATTGATTCACAATTTATTATATCACTTTAAATCAAAGCCTTATTTAGTGAATTCAATTCAGATAAATAAAACTGACAGTAAACTTGCAATATGAATATGTGTTTGTGTGCATGCGTGTGTATGTGTGTGTGTGTGTGCGTGCACACGTGTATGATATACCACTTCCTAACAACATTAATTAAAATTAGAATTATTAAAATTTAAACCTTGCATGGCAGAAAGATTATAAGAGACAGCCAGATGTGGTTCATGCCTATAATCCCAGCCACTTGGGAGGAAGAGGCAGGTGGATCTCTGTAAGTTTCAAGTCATCCTGGTCTACAGAGCTAGTTCCAGGGACAACCAGAGCTACACAGAGAAACCCTGTCTCAAAAAAAAAAAAACCAAACAGAAACAAAGAAAATAATTAAACATTGCAACAAATGTATATGTAACCCTTCCAAACAATATTAATTAAAATTAGAATGCCATCATGAAGCATGATTGGAAAAATAGAAGAAACATTTAGCTTCCAAAATCTTTATAAAATTTTACTCTGGAAGCCAATTTTACAACCCACAGCAGAAATGCTGAGGTTAGACTTTGACAGCAACACCAGGCAGTGACCTTTGTTTACATCTTAATGAAGTCATTAAGCCACAGTATTCATGGGAATCCTGGGTACTTCTATTAAAGAGACTGTAAGAGGGCATGATGGATATAGTTATCCTAAAGATTAAAATAAAAAAGTTCATGCAAAAAAAGCCTTCAATCAATTACAGGGAAACAGTTATGCTTAATAAGCATTAGAGTGATGTAATTCTGTTTTAATTAAAACTATACTAAAAAAAGAAATGCATATTTTTTCATAAGAATAGCTAAAACTATTCAAATACCAAGATGACAAATATGTGCATCTTACCCACACATCTTGGCTTCTCATTGCTCCAAAGGCCATTTTCTAAGCAGTGCATTTCTTTCTGTCCTTCAATCTTGAAGCCAGCATTGCAGTCAAAACGGATCACCTGTCCAAAATAATATTCCTGGTCTGGTTCCGTTGCGCCCCTTACAATTCTTCCATTCTCCGGTTCTGTCACTGGCAAACACTTAACAACTGAAAACACAGGCATCACTTTTACTATCAGAACTTGAAGGCATCTACATGAAACGCATGTATATGAATAAAACCACAAGCAACATGAGCATGGAGGAAATTGCTTAAGTGTTTTAGAAACATTTAGCAAGAGACAAAAGTTATGTAACATGAGTAGTTTGGTTATCAGTTTCTGAGTGAATGGGAAAAGAAAACTATCACTTTCAATGATGGTTTGAAATTTAATGATCTCAAGAGTCTCCTAAACTATTAAAAATGTGAATTCTGGAATAATCAAATACATATGTTGTACTAATATCTCAGAGAAATATGATATTGGAATTCCTTAGAGTTTTCCAATAAGATTTAAAGCAATGAACTCTAAGATATTTCTTCTAATAGAGAAATTGTCCTTAATTTTTCTTTCCTTTCCACCTTGGTGTTCATATTATTATTTTGCTTAAAATTTCTCCATCATGAAGATATTCAAAGTTTATGTTTTCTGAAGAGACTTTGATGCAACACGTATCATAGGAGTGTTTCCTTGTCTTCCCCTCAAAAGATACTGATTCTACAGGCCATTTGGGTGGTCCAAAAGCTCAGTTTTGCACAAGTATCTTCATGTAACTCTGATGTCAATGTTCCCTGGAGCAACTCCTCCTTTCCTTTTCTGAAAAGTCTCTGTATTTCTCGAGGCCTGAGAATACCCATTGTGATCACATTATCTTTCTCTCTCTCTCCTTCCACTCCCCTGCCTGCTCTTCCTTCTCTCCTGTATTACTTACCCTGGAAATAGGACATAACATTTGAATTGACCTTTGCTATTTCCATGGCGACTAGGGATTTGGACTGTTTTCCCCAAACTCATAAACAAGACCTGTATTTCCTCATTCTTTTGGTTTGTGCTTCATATGAGCAAGAGGTAAAAGAGTAGAGAGTTCTTTCTTAATTCTTGCTCTTTTTTCCCTCCTAAAGTTAAGGCTATGGGAAAACCTTGACAGCAGCATACTGTTGATCAATGATTCAATCCCATTCTCTACCACAGTGGTGCCCTATGTTCCTGTAACTGGATAGTAACTAGAAGAGACATTCTTCCTGAATACAGCTTTCAAATTCTGACCTTGTATTAAACTGGTGATGGTTGCACATATTATTAATGCTTGAAATCTAAAATGAAAGAAAAATTGGCTTCGATATTTATAATAGTCAGTACACTGATCACAAAATCATATCAATCGTTTTTTGTATTTATCATGTTGCTAAATAGCTTTGAGTTTTACTGGTTTTATTGATGGATCCTTGTGTGTCCAGGGTCAAATCCAAGACCCCAAAGAATCTGCATTAACCCTAAGCAATTTGCCACCTTCTAGACTTAGTATACTTAATACATTGAAATACAAAATAGTTCCCTAACAAAAACAGCTATGTTCTGTTTTAGTCTAGAAACTATAAAATATTATAAATAAGATAAATACAAACTTCATGGTTTTTTTCTGTAAAATTCAGAAAAATCTTATCTATTTTAGGTGTTTAGTCATGCATGCCAAATAGCTTTTTATTTACCTTCACATAATGGAACATCATTGGTCCACCCATCAGCATCACATTCCCGGTAATCAATCTCACCTAACAGTTGATACCTAAATAAAATAAAATGAAATAAAAATAAAATAAAAATAAAATTGTGTTGAGACATCATGTATTTTCATGTACTTTTTAGCTCTTTACTGTCACAGGTGTCCTCCAGTAAGAGATTTTTAAGAAAAAAAAACATTTTTCTTACATTATTCTCATCCTGCTCTTAATTCTTTATAGATATAAAACACTTCAGCAGAATACCTTAGTCAAAGAGCTTGGAATCAAGGGTTTACTCGATGCTTGCTGTAGAGAAGATGGAATAATTGACTATAAATGTAATACTCTAGCTCTTTTGTGAGACAGAATGTGTCTTCTTCCAACAGAAAAAAAAAGAAAAAAACAAGTTCCTGGTGAAAAGACTTTCCATCCACAGCAGAAACCAACCCCTTATGCCATGCTCCTTCAGACATTCTGTAAGATTCTATACAAAACTTTCCTTGACCTATGTTCATGGAGGGAGGGGAAAGGATGAGAAAATGGTTGTTCATACAGAAAAAAAACTTTTTGCAATGTCATCTCAAAATCACTTATATGTAGGACAATAAAATGATTGCTCAAAAGGAATCATTCTGCTAAATAATATGTAACTAAACTTATACCCAGCAGAGAAAATAAAGACAGAGACCTAGAACTAAAAAGGGTAAGCAAAAAACAGGGATGCAATAAACCTACTCCATACTAGGCTTTTACTTCTGTGTTTAAAAAAAACCACATATTCCTCAAGCTAGATAAGACATTCTTCAATAAAAATTTAAATTAAAGAGAGCTATTTTTACCTACTGATCCCACATGGTGTGAGGACTTTCACTGATAAGTGTCAATAATTTCGCCAGCAGACTGCTGTTGGTAATTGAAGCTCAGTGTCCAAAGTTACTGACACATTAGAATTCTATCAGTGTTGACTCTTCATATATATATATATAAGATGAAAGAGGCAACAATGTGTTCAAGAGGGCCAGAGTCAGAGGAAATATTCAGCTCATTTCTTTACCAAATTGTAAATACTAAGTTCCAAAACTGGGGGATTCAAATGAAGAAAGCATAGAGTTTGATTCTCTTTTTCAATACAACAGTTAAACCGAAATCAGGGAGGCTAGCCTGGGATGAGAAAATTCAGAGAGGAACAGTGGACCAGCCTGAAAATCTCATGCCATGGCAATCCTTGCTGGCTCTATACAATAATGTATGTGGTGATGATTGAAAAATAGTATAAAAAACGAGTTTGAAAAATCTCAGGTTGTGAACAAGGAGAAGCTAAATAAGAAATAAATATGTACTGGGCACTTGCAGTATCTCATGATTTTTATTTGAAGGGCTTCAAATGTGGGTCATATTTATTTCCCCTGCCTATCCCATGATCCTGATGAGAAGTTTGCACTTTTGTCAGAAAGGGGATAGGAATGAGATAATAGCTTATGAACACTGAGTATTTGAATCTGGGAATGTTTTAGAGCTAATTCTAAAGCCTGAAAAGTTTTAACTGTTATAGTTTAATGTCTCAAGTTGAGAAATAAAAGCCAACTAAAAAATTCCATTCACAATGCTTAATTTTATTTATACTTAATTTGGTAAAATATCATAGAGTTCTTACTTTTCCCACATGATTTTTTAAAATAATCTGTGGCAATGGAGAGAAATAATAGAAAATGAAAAGCTGAGGACTCACTGATGACATCAGCTTTGAGACCTTGTCAAAGGGCAGAGTTAATGATTATGAAAAATTAGTGTTTGGGTCCCATATAATAAAAGTAATTTACATACTATTGAGCTTTAACAATAGCACTCAGGAGAGAGACTTTCTAGTCACAAGTAAAAATCTTGCTTTCTTAGTCTGTTTGGGAGGCCCCAGCAACAGGAACAGGATCTGTCTCTGGTGCTTGAGCTGGATTTTTGGAACCTATTCCCTATGGTGGGATGCCATGCTCAGCTTTGATTCAGGGAGGAAGGACTTGGTTCTGTCTCAACTTGATAGGCCATGCTTTGTTGACTTCCTTACCCTTTCTGAGGAGTAGATGGGGGCAGGGTAGAAAGGAGGTGAGGTGAGGGAATGGAGGAGAGGAGGGAGGGAAAACTGTGGTTGGTATTTAAAATAAATAAATTTAATAAAAAGCAAAATCTTAAGTCTTGCTTTCTTTAAAGACTACAAAATCTTTTCAAGAAGATTATCATATAACATAGTTGTTTTCACAATTCCTATTGTCCATAATACATAATTTTTTCCTATTTCACATACTATTGTGCAAATAACAGAATGTAATAAGGAATAGCAGGCTGAACACTTAACTTTTGTGTGTATTGACTTAACACTCCTGATTTCAACATTATGCCAGAATAATTATAACTCACTTACTTGTCAACGTTATGAAGACAACATGGCATTCAAATAAAATTATTCACATCCTAGCTTTATTTGTGTTATTTTCTAAATATTAATAGAAAAATTTGGTCTCATTAAAGTACAAACTTATAGATTTTCTACATATAATTTCAATGATGAGCCTTTTAATATTGACAACATACCCCTCATTGCAGGTATAAACAACTTTTGCTCCAAACTCAAACCCAGTTCCAACTGCAAGGCTAAAAGATCCAAAGGGTGTATCTCCAGGATGCCCACATGGTCTTTCTAAAATTAAAGAAAAGAAGATTCAGTGTTAGAATACAGTCCATGGAACACACCTCATGAAGGAGTCAGGGGAGCACATTTGTATATCATTGAAATGAAGAGTAACTGAAAACAGGAAAGAAAATTTTATAGTTGAAACTAACTGCCTACTTCCATTTTTAGTTTACTACATTTTAAAAAGATTTTCCTCTATTTTGTTTAAAGTAGTAATACAATATTACATTGCTACAGCATAAAAACATTTAATACATCAAAACTAAGTTGTCTCAAGGTTCTCAAGAATGAAGTACTTACTCCGGCAGATCCTGGATGGGTTAGAAGCTACCCATTCTCCACGCCTGCATACTTTAACAATGGTCCCAAGTGTTCGGTATCCAGGGCGGCATTTGTATAGAGCCTGAGTGCCTTCTGGATATGTTTGGTCAGGCCAAGACCCTGACAGAATTTCTGTATTTTGTTTTGGAGGAGGACCTTTACAATCTACAATAAAAACATACCAATAATTGAAATACATATTCACATAGACATAATAGCCCTTAAATGTTAAAAATTAAAAGGTATTGTCAACAAAGACAAATTTTAAAAGCTCACCATTTGGGGGTAAACTGAAGCTTGGAGGCTCACAGAGACTGAACTGACAACTGGGGAACCTGTATGTGTTTGACCTAGACCCTCTGCACTTGTTATGGTTGTGTAACTTGGTGTTCTTGTGGAAACCCTAGCAGCAGGAGTTGGGTATATCTCTGACTCCTCGCTTGTGCTTAGAACACTTTTCCTCCTACTGAGTAGCCTTTTCCAGCCCTGATATGAGGGTCTGTGCCTAGCCTCACTGTAATTTGTTATGCCACATGCAGTTGATATCCCTTCGAGATCCGATATTTTTTGGGGGGAGGGGAATGAAGGAGGTGTGCATCTAGGGGAGAGAGGAGTGGTGCATAATTGGGGCAGGGGGACTGGTAGGAGTGGACATAGGGGAAATTGTAGTTGGGATGTAATGTATGTGAGGAATACATTTTTTAAAGGAGGAAAAGAACAGCTAGTGTGACGGAAGTTGGAGCTACCTTGTCAAGAAACGGGACAGAGGCCACAACTCACATCAAAGCTGAAAATGTGTGCTTCTGTCTTTGTCACTGAGGGCTGCTAGGACAAAAAGACTACAGATTGGAAAGCTTAAATACCATGTATCCTTGACGAGGTGAATATATTTTCTCTTTATTCTCATATAGCAGGTGGGGAGTGAGAGATGGGGTGAGGGTGGGGATCAGAGAGACAAATAACAATGGGCAGAGACAGGCTTAGATACATAAAGCCTCTTTCTCTTATTTTAAAAAATGCTGATTTCTTTTTGAGGACTCAGCTCTCATGACCTCATCTAAACTTAACTACACTCCTAAGACCAATCTCAATTTCAACATATTGGTTTGGAGACAGAACAAATACAGCGTCCACACCAATTGTCTATGGGTCAGCAATAAATCACTGAAAGTACATTCAAGAAATACATGTGCATGAGAACCCAATTCACTTGTGGTAAAAATTAGAACAATATGGCTACTATTCAAAATTAGAAAGTACAACCTCAGCAGTTGAATTACTAAAATCTATGATTCAGGCACGTGGTGAATATTGCATCAATGCCACAGAATATATAGAGAATATCCTAATAATGAATGCAAAACCATAGTGTATTAAATATTCAATGGCTATTAATATCAATATGAAAACTAAGGAAAGCATTGTATATATCATGTAGGCACACACAGGTTGCAAAATAATCAAGAGTAAATATAATTATAGCTCTGAAGATGTTCCATTTGGAAGAGACCTACAGGGATCTTCTGGGGTGCTGGGAATACTCTGTTTCTTGGTGTGAATGAATAATAATTAATAATATACTATGTTCATAGTTTATTCATTAGTATGTATTACATAATTTATATACATAAAATTAACAAAATTAGTATGTGTTCTATTACTCTTCAATACATTAACTAAAGATAGTGTATAAAAAGAATGAGCAGAAAAATAATAAGTAAAATTGTGCCTCTTGTTTGTGTTCATTCATTTTCATCCTCTCGTTAATTAAGGGCATGGAAACTTAGAGACTGAGTAACTTTCCCAAGGTATCTGAAAGCAGCAGAACTGAAACTGAGCTTAAGTTTGCCAGACATGGGATCTCATGGGTTTTTAACCACTCACTCCTTACTTTTTGGGGCTGGGAAATAAATTAGAGGTGCTGTGCTTTCTTCTTACATTTTATAAGAGAAATATAATATTTTGCTTATCGTTTTAGCAGAAATACACAAGGAAAGTTTTAATTTACAGCGAAACCCACATTTAACATTTTATTACAATGGCTGTGCCTAAAGCCTTCCATGTTCCATCCTTTTGCCTGTTTACTATTTTCTCAAGTTCTGGAATTATGACTATGGAATATTAGCGCTAAGGAATAGAGTTGTTTTTTAGTATTGCCTGCTGCTTAATTTTGTAATAAATACTCTGATATTTATATGGTTGTATTAGCAAAATCCAACATGTTGTTTCATAAATGGCAGATTCTAATGCTTTTACCTATTATATCTGAAAATTATTACTTTAATTGCTAGATTAATTTTACTTCTTGATTTTGTAACAATTTGCCGCTCTACTATAACCTTTATCTTCTAAAGAGAATAACCTACTGAGGTATAGCCAACTTAGAACTTGTATATATAAGATGTAATTCTACAACATGTGATGAAGTAAAAGGACCATCACATTTTATAGAAGAATAAATCACCTGCTTAGGCTGTCGGGTACACATATTTCCTTTGAGTATTTTCCTAAGTTTTAGAACATTTGTCTTAATAAATGTGTGTAATAAATTATATTACAATACAGTTTGCTTTTCAGCATTTCGGTAATCAAGCATTTGTACACTAGATGGCGAGAATACTCCACCACCACCACTGGGAAAAAAAAAAAACCTGGTGCTTCAAAATGCACCCTCTGCTTTCAGTTGCTCCTCAGTCTTCTCCCTTCAAATGCACGTGCTGTTTGCCTTTGTTTAGATTCTCAGCATAACATGTACCAGTAATGCACATACTCATAACTGAAATAATGATTCACCGTGTTTCAATAGGGTTAAGCGTGACAAACAGCAGGATTTCTTAAGCTCCACAGATTTAAATTCTCATGGTTCTAACTAGACTGTAGCAAGTTTTTTTCATTCATGTCGTGGATCTGCTAACGTAAATGTGCAACAACACATTTGTTTGAAATAGATGGGAGATTGTTAGCAAAACAGGGCAGGTATTATTAAACAGGGATCATAGCAATACATTCAAATAATAAAAAACATTTTCAGAGGGATGACTCATCTTAAACCCTCTGAAAAGGGGCAAGTCTTGTGCTTCTAACTCCCCATGAAAGAGTGAACTCACCTTTCTTGTACCTACATATTTACTCAGACTCTGACAAATGAAGCCTGATCCCATGTGTTTGCAGTAACATAATTGATAGTTAGGTGTTTTCTAAAATCACCTGTGTTGATTTTCTGTTTACTTGACTGTATTTGCCAATTTCAAATGTTTTTCAGAAAAGGAAAGACTGTGTATAGGTTGGACTCTCTGAAAACAGGAGTTTTTTTATTTTAACTTGAGGGAGGTAATGGTATAATTTTTGAAAGTGAAAAGCAAACTGATTTTTTAGTAACCATGGTACACTGGCTTTTTCATATTCAAGATTTAAAGAGCTAGTATTGACACACAAACCAGATAAATTCCTTATTTTCAACATCAATATGTCTCCCAGTTATTATTTGAAATGCTCTTGCAAAAATGAGATAATGCATTTGCATATCTTGTAAAACATATCACTTGTACCCATATCATTTGCAAATTAAAGTCAGAGATAGATTTTTTGTTCACTTACTATAGCTTTTAAAGGATTTTAGTAAAGAAGAGGAGATATCATTTTAAAAAATATTACTTCTTATCAAATAGTAGAATCACTGAAAACTACAAGTTCCTTAGGAAAAATAAAGCAAATGAATAAAATGGAAATATCAAAAATAGATATTTCCATTCTGCCTTCTTATTGATATATTAATTTTATGCATATATGTGAGCTAAATATCAGTCGCAATAAAGTACTTTAAAAAACAAACTACAAAATTTAAGTTCAAGTGACATATATTTTTCTAAAATACACAGGAATGGTTCAGTAGTTTATTTGTAAAAATGTTAATCTTGAGGAAAGCTTAGATCATTAAGGGTACTTGTCGAAACCTTGAAGAAATCGGTTGTCATTGTGAGGGGTCAGCTTGAAATCCATTCAGTCAACACTTCTGACATGGGCACTGCTTGGACTGCAGTCTCCTAACACCAAGTTTGGTCCCTTTGTTGTCTTTTTAAAATACACTGCTAGTACATATTGAATGGTTTTCCTTGGGCTTGAATGGCTGCCTCAAAAAGTCACTTAGCTCCAGGATGGAGTAGATAAAGTTAGGCAGCACCAATACTGAGTGTTATCAGTGGGGTCTTGAGGATAAGGATTACAAACAAAGGGGACAAAGCTCCTCTCAAAGCCCTACCCCTAATTCCTACAGAAGTTAAGGTGACTCCAGTTTCACAGAATCTATTTATTTCTTGCTGTACAACAGATGTTTCCCCTGCCTATACCTCCTCTTCCCCACCATCTGCCTACCTCCTATGCGGGTTCAAAACCTGCCTACATGAGGCTGCATGCCTGAAATCAAGTATGTTAGAGAGGAGAGATGGTCAGTTGAGGCTAGCTTGTGCTATTTAGTCTGACTCTTTCAGAGAAACAACATAAAACTAAAAAAGCAAAAACATCTCTAGACAAATGTTATCCTCTCCTGACCCACTCTCATTATTTATTTTTTAATTTTACTTTTAAATTAGTATACAAAGGATTATATTTTATTGTCCTGTGCCCCCCACCTGCTTCTGACTCCCTAGTACTGCGATTAAAGGTATGCTCCATCCCACCTGACTTTTCTTTCTGCTTTTGAAAGTAGTTTTATTTCATTCTTTTTATTCCTTCCCTTGCCTTGTGCCCGTCTAATGCAGTGCTTTTTCAGCTCTCACGTCACATGTACATGCTTTTAATCCCAGCACTGGGGGATTAAACTCTGTGAGTTTGAGACTAATCTGGTTTACAAGAGCTAGTTCCAGGACAGGCTCCAAAGCCACACAGAGAAACCCTGTTTGGAAAAAAAAGACAAGATTTAGAAGAAGAAAAAACAGACAAGAGTTGGAAGAAAAAAAAGAGAGAAGAGAACTATTGTCTGATGAACTTGAAGGTCTGTTGCATGTACTGACAACTCTCCCCAAGCCCATTGTTCATCTGTCTACCTCCCAAGTGTGAATCTGGGTTGCAGCTTTTGAAGTGAGGAATCTCTTGGATTTAGCTCAAAGTGTAAACAGTTCTTAGGAACCTTTGAAGGAGTGTTTCTATAATCATCCTCTATCTATTAC